CATCAGGGTTGTAAAGTACCTAGGTACAAGTAACTGGAAATCGGTATCTAGGTACTTGTGTTATATCTGAGGTACAAACCTAGGTACTTTAATTTCTCAGTATCTGTATTTACATCTTAGGTACATTTTCCAGTAACTTGTAACTAAGTGAAGATACTTTTTACAGGTACTTTTCTATTCACTTTGTCCAAAATGGTAGAAACTATACATCTTAAAGTATTAACACACTACCATCTGCCGTGATTGACGTTGAGTTGGGTACGACATCTGAGGCACTGACTTGATCGAACGACGTTTTAGCGAACGAAGCCCCGCCTATGATGTTTCATCGAACGACACACTTTAGTGAATGTAGGTGTTCATTTGAGGGAACGGTGGATTAGCGATACCGTTCTAGCGACACCAGTTTATTCAATCGCTGCGGAACTCCGTTTAGTGGAAATAGCGACCTGCTTCCATCATCTCAAACTGAAATCGACTTCATTGCGTGTTTGAAGTTCCTCTGACAGCTACACAAGGAAGAAGATAACTTGAACGATGTGCGGTGTTTCTGCTGCCCGTATCTTGTCCTGGTGGTGGCACTGTTCTACCATAAATACAATATAAAATATAAATGCAAATAAATTATAATTAGAATCGTGAAGCAATGTAACATCCCGTATATAATACAGTTTCCGCTCAATAAATCGGACTCAAATTGTGCAGTCATGAAAACTGAAAAAGTTCCGAAAAAAAAAAAGAAAAAAAACTAATTTTTCTTCTGACTATCTAAAGAAAAAATAAAACAAAGAAGCTTGAAGCCTTTCGCTCGTCGTCGCGAAGGTTAGGTGCATATGCACTCGACTATGCATATGCAAACGACGTCTTCTGGGCCCGTCGGCGTCAGCACCGGCTCTGAGGGCAATAACTTCAATAAGCGAGTTTCGGCGGTTTTGGTGTGACATGGTAAACAGTGGAAGCTGTGGCCTCAGTGAACCAATTGGAGCGTGGGGAAAGGCACGTGAGGACTCAACACCGATGTCGACATCGCATTGACACCAATAAAGCACATTTATCGAACTCGTTTTTGAGTGTATCCTTATTATAAAAAGCTTTACTTCCAATATATTTTGACAAACTTGGGGAAAATAAATAAAGACAGTATCTTTAAAGTAACTGTACCTGTACCTAGGTACATCTTTAAGCAAGTACCTCGGTGCGTACCTAAGTACCTTTTCGTATGAGTAGCTGTAACTGTATCTTAGGTAAATTTTTAAAGTAACTTTTACAACCCTGCCTATGATGTCCGGCGGCGGCGGTGGAGTAATGAAACTGGCTGTGAGATTGGTGTCTTGAAAATCGAAGACGTGTAATATAATCTAGAACGCCACTAAACAACAAAAAAATTTGGCAAACAAAAGTGGCAATAATTTTGAAGAATCAAACAAAGAAAAAAAAAAGAAGACCAGTCACGCTAATGGTAATTAAAAAAGAACGCGAAGTCTCGATGTGTCGTTCAGTTTCTTCGTGCTACCTTCCTTGTGTTAACGAACCACGCTACTTCGACAACATTAGCCTGAATGGGGTAGGTTGTTCTATGACTTTGGTAGATTGCCAACCCACGACCGCCAATTAGTCAGCCTCCTGAGCGGCCCGAGTACCTTTTCCTTTCGGGTCCAAAGGGCGGGTATGTCCTGTCACGACAATGGGTAGTTGAAACCATAGCCGCTAAGCTTCCAGAAAGACCTTGCATCGAAAGCTGAGAAGCTGCTCGCAGATGTACACTGGCAGTTCAAACGGCTCGTGTTTTATCTTATGCCCCAATTGTACGGGCTCTCAAAGTCTGAGTTGCTCTGTGGCACACGTATTTAGCTAATGGAAAAAAAAGTGAATGAAACGCCCCCTCGGACAATAAAGTGGCCTCTAACCAGGATATCTCCTTATTGCGTGGCTCACTGTTCCGCCGTTTTCACGATAGTAGATCAGGAGTCAGCTATACGGAGGGAAAGTGTTCCGAAAGGCGCCTTTTCCCCTCGCAATGCAAGAAATGGTATGCGAAATTAGCGCGCAACCTGGGAAAGGTGCAATAACGAAGCAGTCGAGCGCGCCGTGATTGGTTGAGATGGGGGGGGGGGGGGGGGGAAACAAAAGCATTAGTGTGCATCTGGAGATTAAACGAATGCACGAGCTGGTGCAAGAAACAGAAGAACTTGAACACCATAGAGTAACTGACAACCTAAAGAAAGGAGGATGTCTGCTTTTTATCTTTACGTTTCTTGCTTCGTTCGTCGGTGTTCTTATCTTCAAATGTCCTCCTTTAATTGGGTTTTCAACGATCGGAATTTTCCAAGCTCTGCTGCCTTTCATAAGCTGTCAGTGATTGCATTATGCGTCCAATAAATGAAGGCAGTTACTAAAAAAAGTGCGCATACGCGCCGGGGTATTTTTAAAAGCGCTTGCTGAGCAAGGCTTACCAGAGGAAGCCAAGTACTGTTCCGTCCCGCTAGACTTGAAAATTTATGTCGGTATTCCTAAACCGCTTCGGTGGCTCCGAATCAAAGTGCCGCCCAAAGGATTCCTCAGGTCGCGGGTTTAACTCCCGGCGGAGATGCCAAGCAATCTGACGGAGGCTTTTTTTTTTTTTTTTCCGGAGGAGGCGCCGTGTAACCGAGAATTCGGTTGCACGTCAAAAGAATAAAAGTTGGTCGAAATGATTACTCACTTCTTCTCAGGGGCTTGCCAGATGCCCTTCGTTGGTTTGGCACTTAAACCCTCTTCCCCCCTCCCCCCCCCCCTAAGTTTGGTTTTGTGGGTATCCCTTAGGATACCCCTGAATTCGATCCAAGTGGCTAGATATCACTCGACTCGGAAACAAGACGGTCACCTCGCAAGTGGCCTTAAAGTCTCGCTATCGTTCTCCTACCTCTGTGTTATTTCCAACGCCGATCAGTGGCACAAGTAATTCTCAAAGTGACCAGTGATGACGGATAGATATCTTGGGAATTGTAGTAGTCAAGAATCGTTGTAATTTAAGAAAATAAATAATAAAAAAAACTTCCGGAGAATTTGGTTGGTAACGTATCTTGGTTGGTAGCTCGGTGTCATCGTTTATGCACCGGGACTCATACCGCGACCTCCAAGGAGAACGCTAATGATTGTTGTTATGGTCACATGATCGCTTCCGTCAGCCAGTGAGAGCAAGAAGCCTTCCGCGCCTTCTGCGGCTGTGACATTATAAACTGTTGTCACGGTCATAACGCTTTTGCGTAACGTTTTCGCGTCTTGCAAATTCACCAAGTTATCCTTGACGAAACAAACATGCTCTACATTAAAACGTGAAACTTTAGTCCAACCACCGTTTTGAGTTCTTAACACAGACGGGAATTTCTTTGGCTGGCACCTAACCATATTCATCTCTAACCAGGGACTGAAGTCGATAAGCTGACTGCCACCTCGAATCCTGACGCAGCGTTCGTCTACTCACTGATTGGACACCAAAACGCCTTCCTCGAGTGCCTCCGTAGCACTCTTGATGGGGGGAAAACATCACGCGTTCCGATGCAGCGGCGCTCTGCTCCGTGAATAAAGTGCGCTCCGGGTTTCCCCAGAGAAAGAGGGTAAAGCCGGCGTCAGACTCTTATACATCATACAAAATACAGTCTGCGTAGATACTCCAACGCGAGTCACCATCCATGCTTCAAATGCCGCATGGCAACGAGTTCAAGGAGAAAACTTGGCACGCCGCATTCGAACCACGGAATCGAGGTGACTCGTGTTTGCAGACCGTCATTTGTATGATGTGTGAACGGTGTGACCCCGGCTTAAAAGAGAGCGGCAGAAAAGCAGACGTGCTCACTTTGCTGCAGCGGGGAGAAATGTAGTTCGAGTGTTTGGCTCCCTATTGCCGTGAGCTTGGGCAAGGGCTCTGCTCGGGCGTCGGACGTTCCTAGATTACGTCAGTTGTGAAACTCCCGTGGACTGCACCCCCGCCCCCCTCCCCTTTAAGATCGCCCCCCGTCGTTCGAAGCGCCACCTAGATTTTCCTTTTAAATCTGCGTGTTCCATAGAGTACGGTGAAACGACATTTAAACGCTCCACTTAAAAACATATGTATTCAATACGATACATTGTAGTTAACAGCCATACTCAAAACGGTGGCGCGTGGAACAACATGGGAGGCTCGCCTTTGGGGGGAGGGGGGGGGGGATTACTCGCGGCTAGCAGTGTCCATGGGCAGTTCCGTAGGCGAGCTAATCTAGCAACGTTCTCGCTGGCGTGTTTTATTTGTTATGATTTTCGCACGCTCTGAATACTGCGTTTCGCATTCCAGCAGGCCCGCAGGCTATAAGAAAGTTGCATTTACTTTTCAACCGCAGAATATAGCGCTCATAAATAAGGTATCCACGAAGCGCTTACGCTATTACCGTGCACGACACAGGAGTGCAAGGTCAGCGGTCTGCACGAATCCTACGAAGGGTGCTCGCTGTCCGGCATTGAGCGGGTTCAACCCTGCATTTTCATGGCGGCACCGGATTCTACCATTCGCGCAATCACGTCTCCAGATGTGTACAGATTTACTCCGGACTAACACATCACATTATTACCGCTGCCTTTATTGCGCTAGTACGGAAAGGAGGCAACTTTTGGACTGATCGATACGTTTTTACACCCTCCCTTTGTTATGTAAATTTGAGAGTGCTGTGCACGCGTTAAACAGGCTAAATAAGCATAGTCATTTGCTTGTAAGTCGACTCAAGGTTGAAAAGGGTCAGCACGTAAAAAGTTGAGAAAATGGCGATCTCGCAGCTTAAAGTAAGCTGCAGCTATTAACTGAGAATAGGGGAGGGGAAATATTTTGGCGGCAGAACATCCCGACCGCTTTTTGAAAACACCTACGTGCCTAATGCGCGTTTAATAGCACGGAAAGGTGAATTTTTTTTTTTTTTCAGCTTTTACCGGAGTATATAATAAAAATTATCGAGGCAGGCCTCACGTGTCCTGCTCGACACTCTCTGGCTTACCGGATGAATTGACTTGTCTTTGCACTGGACGGCCGTATGACCGCACATCACTCCGATGAGGTATGAGCCAACGTGCGTGAAGGGACGAAGGTATATCAAAGACATCGCGCGGTCCAATCTCCTGTGCCAAGAACAAAAAAAAATTGTTTTCATGAATAATATAATCATTGGATTGCCCTTGTCTGGGATGCTTACGCATCAGCCTTCACGCATCAACTAATTGCGATTTACCATGTAGAGGGAGAAGACTGTGTTGACATAACAAACGACTTGTTAGGAATGTCGCTCCCGCGTATCTTAACAACGCGACCTAAAAATAATAATTTTACTATAATTATCACTAAAGTTAGTGCATTTTTATGTAGAAATTGCACTAGGCAAAAACCAATAGAAGTTTCGGGACTAGTTTTGTAGCGTAAAAACAGAGGACAGAATGTAATGCTCAAACATCTGTCGAAGACGGGGATCTTCCTGTGTCACTAGTCCAAAGTGACGTCGTTCTGTGAACATTTGAAATTTCGCTCAACGAGCTTGAGTGGCCACGTGCACAAACACAACGGTGATTTCAACGTGTATTGCAAAGCAGACCCAAGAGCGGGCGTCAATTACGCGGTAAACTCGCAAAATCTGAAAAAGAGGCTATTGAAATGACTCGGCAGGCTCATGGCGAAAAAGCAGTGAGTGAATCGTTCGAGCTGTTTTGAGTGGCCCTCGAACTTTAAAAAGTCAGAACAACGATGAGACGGCGAATAACTGGGGAACTAAACGTTTAAGGAGCCGAATTTCTACCCAAAACAAAATAGAAGAACGTCAGCGTCGGAAGCGTCGATGTCGGTGAAACAGCAGGATCGAACCGCTGGGGCGAGACTGCCTTCGGCTCGCCACGCGGAGCCCCTTATGTAGATTCGCGGGCTTCTGGAACAATCGGCCTAGAAGGTTGGGAGCGTAGAACATTCTAACTTCGAATAAGCTACAGGATTCTCAAATGTGGCAGAATGCGACATTTACAGAACTAACAAAATCAACAACATCCGCAGCCAGGAATCGAACCTCGGCTCTTTGCGTGGGAGCCAAGCACGATAACAGCTAGGCCACGGGCACGCTACCTACTTGGCCCACTGCGACCGCGGTAATATCACTAGAAAATGAGAAAACAAATCGCGGAAGGTTGCCGCATTTCTCTTCATCTTCCAGTAATGGTCTGCCATATTTTTATGCGTGAGTGCCATTAAAAACACTTAGCACAACTCACTGATTGTTTGCTAGAAGCCTTCCGAGTCCATCTAATACGTCTCTGCTTGAGATTTGGCAAATTTGATTTTCGCTTCGGTTCGCCCAGTTCATGCTTAAATCACTGATGTGCTCGGGCACGTGGCCAAAAATCTGGCAAAGCGCAGCTTTAAATGTTCACAGAACGACGCCCTTTAATGACTGATGAAAGTTGACTGCTGCGCGTTTATCATTTTGCTAACCTCTCAATTTGCGTAACAAAACTCCCGAAACTTTGTGATATCCCACCTTGTATATGCCTTCGCGGAATGTTTCTGACTTTCCGAAATGTGTCAAATCACAAAAACGGGCTTCACGAATCGCCTAATATTCGCATCCCGTGCCTTTTTTTTTTTTTTCGACCGCGTATTTTGCGCGACTGCTGCCCTCTAATGTTATTAAATTCAGTACAGCCGAGATATGCCGCCTGAGCGCTTAACATTTCACGTTGTCTCATTGTGATCGCATTTTTAATAATGATCATCAATAAGTTAGCATTAGCTCCCTGATACACGCGCTGATCTATTTGTTCTCAAAACGTCCCTTTAAATTATATTCTAGGGCTAATACGGACTCTTATACCGGCCTAGATAACGCTACCCAATCATTTCCATCTAAGCTAAAAATGTAGTTTCCAGCTCAGAGACAAGTTAAAAAATTCTAAAACCCAAGACGGAGGCTACAAAGAGGGAACAAACACAAGACGTCTAGAGGTCTTGTGCTTATTTCCTTTCTATAGCCTCCGTCTGGGGATTTAGAAATGTTTAACTTTAACCAGCTCGCCTGCCTTATTACGTCATCTTCAGAGACAAGTCACCGTGTATATCACTGCTGCACGAGCATCAGGAGAGCGAATAAACTTTTACTTACCCTGCATCGTAAGTCCCAAAGCTAAATCCGTAAAGCAGGTTCCATGAGTGAATTTGAAAGCTAGTTAGGGCAGAAAAGCCTAACACAATGGCCACTGCAAAGCCGCACGCCGTTTTCGGAAACCTGTTGTAAGGGGAAAAAAAAGCGAAAAAAGAGAGCCGGCAGTGCATGAGCGCGTGAGTGTGTGAGTGACAACCCAGCTCTTCATGATGTACGACTTTTTTGTGCACAGATATTTTCTTTTTTTTATGCAAAAATACTTTTCGATTTGTTAATATCCTATAAATTGTGCGATGACAGGTAAAATATCAAGTGAATTAAAAATATCGACCATTCACCCACAGTTCAATCTTATATGAAGTCACCCAACACCATGGTGTTGGGTGTTTTCAGCCTTCAGTTGCGTGGTGTAAACATCACAGGTGTGCAGTGGCTTTACAAACACCATAGGCGTCACTTGCGCGAAGGCGCAACGCTGCTGCAATGACCCTACCTAGCTTTCCACATCTACCTTTCTTTTTTATTTTCTTTGTTAACTCGCAACCTGTTGTTGTTCTGCCCACGCCACTCCCACCATCAGTTGGAGCATAAGATTCCGTAACGTTTCCTGTTCATATATTCCGTCTTACCGCATAAGACGCTACGAGCCATACAAGCCAAAACAACACTGTGTCAGTGTCCCGTGACCTTCAAGAGGGGCGCAGCGACGCGTTGTCACTTTATACGCTGAATTGGCTGAGATATTTCATAACATCCGCTACAGTCCATCATAATTGGAAACAGAGTATAGTGATGTCTAGATAATTGAATCGGACCATTTTGTTAACAGACTACCCATATTAAAATAATACATTGGGAAAATAGCGAAGTGCAGCGCAATCAACCATGTAAAACACCCTCAGGGTGAAGTGCCGCAAAGTTTAGTTTTCATAACCAATATCAGCAACATTAAAAAAAAAACATACATTTTTTTGTGTATTTTTAGCGCTCTATGGTGTTTCGAAAATAATGCGACAAAGTACGGCCACTGTGGATGCGGTGCTCAAGTGCCACTGATAGTTGAGACAGAAATTATCCAACGGTAATTGACTGCAACATGGGCCTTGTCATATAATTATTTGTTTCTAATTTAAAACAATACACCGTAACACGTTTCTGTGGATTTTGAATTATCGGTTTTCAAGAGTTTGTCTAGGGAAGTTTGGTGAAAATCGAGGGTGATTATTCGTTGTAAGTGTCGGTAAAAAGAAGAGCCAAATTTTGACTTTTTCGATGTTTTAAAATATTCCGGGCGCGATGCAAAATACATTCGCAATAGATGAGCGCTAACATTTCTTTTTAACAGTAAACCGAGCATGAGATACTCTGTACAAAAACTTCCATCTTAAAAACTGAATTCTAAGATTTGTTGAAAAATCTCCGAATAATTCCTAAATATAAAAGGGTTGCGCAAGAGCCCAAGGTTGTCATTTTGTTTTACTTAAGATATAAATTTAAATAATACAAATTTAACCACTTCATGTAGACGAGTTGGCGTGCTTTACACATAAAAATATAATACGTTGTAGAAAGTTGCATGTTTTATTCTTGTGGCCCTCAAAGTTGCACCTAGCCGCTATTGGGAAAATCGCTGTTCCACCTCCTCCCAGATGCGGTTTTTTGTTTCCAAAAACAAAGAAGCTTTCTTGCTAAAATGTGGTCTCTTTTGTTTTGTGAGCAGGGCACGTTTTTTTGCCTGATATAAAAATTGTGTTGAAAACAAAAATTGTGCATGACACCCTTATGACCAACCTTCTTAGAACACACACTCTGATGCTGATTTGTAGTTCATTTGTTTTTACTTGTGGATAGAAAAAAGAGGTAGAGTAAATTTTATTCTAGACATTAAAGCAATTAATTCGCTAAACTCTTTCCGCGGAAAAAAATATTTGATACAAGATTACAACTACAATATCAAACAATAATGCAAGCAGCCTGTGCTTTGAAACACTAGCAAGGAAATGGGACTTTTCAAAAACCGGGGAACAATTTGTCATTAGTATTGAGTCAAAAGTGCCAACAGCATTAATACTTGTTTTAAAAGGTTCCTAAGACGTCACACCCAAATGCCTCTAATCTTTGATTGATACCTTTAGTAGTTTGACAGAGATAGGCTCGAAGAGAGTCTTGTCAGTGGAAACTAAAAAGTGTTTCATCACACAGATTGTTTATACGGTTTCCTGAACTAGTAGTTTACGAAACACGTACCTCAAGGAGAACAGAGCCAACGGAAATGCCACTAGAACAAATATCTGCATGTCAGCACTGACATACCATAAGTGCGGTAAACACTGAAAAACAGAAAAGCAAACGCACATTGAAAAGAATTAGAACTTAATAAATCGACTCAACATTAGAATGTATAATATTGTTGCATTGAATCATTTTAGTCCATAGCGGCCTAAAAAAATTCAGAGCTCACGGTTCTAGCCTCCTGATTCCTTGCTCAGATTCTTAATTGGCTTATGCAGCGCCCCTAATGGCAGCCAAGCGATGATAAGATGCTCGAGTGGGGGGTCGCTCCCCCCCGCCCCCCCCCCCCCCCCCCCCGAGTTTCTTAAGCTGTCGATATGCAGTGAACCCGCTTCAGACCTATATTCTACTACTTAATACAACTATTTTCGAACTATTCTGTTGTCAAACAACACCCCTTGCGCCTTGCACAGGATTGGTTTTTTGTAGGGCAACTTCGTAAACTTTGTAAAAAAAGCCCACATAAAAAAAGATATATATATATGCACATATATATATATACTGGCCTTTACGTGGTAAGTCTGATGGACTGGGTAATCGTTCCTTTCAGCTAGTCAACTTGTATAAACTTGCAGCGCAGTAGTGACGGGTCTTCCCCAATCGTAACTGTTTCTTAGTTTATTGATAATACCGGGCTGCGTGACCATCTGGCCTAAGATAGAGGAAACTATTCGATCTTGTTTAAAAAGCGTTTGATAGAACCTATAACATTAAGGGGCACTTAAGTGCTTTTTAAGATCCTTGTTTTGTTCTCATAATTCAATCTACGAGCTCTAATCATCCTAAAAAAAAAAACAAATTGCATTACAAAGTGATTAAAGTTCCCCACACTTACCCTCGGCGCAGAACGATAGATGGCGTTACCGAACCTTGCCGAACATGGCTAGGGTTCATTGTTTTCGGGTAAAACTCGATATTACCCGATTTTTGCACCCCGAACAGTTTTGTATGAATATCGGGTAAAGCCCGATTTCTCCCCGAATAGCGGTCTTGAAATCAGCTGAAATTATGGAAAAAAAGAACAATTCTGGATTTGTTTCAGAGCTGCTTCCTCTGTCACTCGTTTGATGGTAAGAAACTTCTTCGATTTGCGTTACCTCTGCATACATTCGCTTCAGGATGAGTCAGAATGCGGAAATATACTCTGAGATCGAGCACCATTGCTATATCATATACTTATTTGATTGAACTTTGTTCGTGTTAATAACACATTTCAGGTATTTGCCCTTCATAAATAACACCTGAGAAAACCCATTTCCTAAGGGTTTCAGAAAGACCCGATTTCTCCCCGATAATCAGCCTGAAAAATAGCTCCCTAGTTTTACCCCTCGACTATTGAAAAATATAAAACCCGAAAACGAAGAACCTTAAATATCGTTGAACGACGGACGGCGCCTGTCAGTCACTTGAGAGCGATCGGTTCCCGCGCGGACGAGCGGGACTGGTCGGCCGCACGTCCTCGCGGGAATCCATCGCTGTTGATGGACTGACAGTTGCCGTCCGTCTTTCCACCATATCCAGCAAGTTTCGGTAGCGCCATCTGTCGGTCTGCGCCGACGGTAAGTTTTGGGAAGTTTGGTCACTTTTTTAATATGCAAATTAGCTGCGCATGAATATAATGATGAACGTTTTAGGGTGCTTAGTGCTTGTAAATCGAGTTATGATCAGAGAACGATTATCTGAGAAAGCACTTTAGTGCCCCTTTAACATCAAATCTTAAAAATTTCACATGACGAGTTTATCATCGAAAAAGAAAAACAGGTCGTCATGCCAGCGAGATTCACAACTTTTCTTGCGAACACCGTTTCAGTTTTGTGGTACTTTTTAGTTACCCCGGTCGACTAAAGTAAAGTGTTAAGCTGCAATGTTCTGACTTCATCACAGTGTAATAGCATATACTCTACAGTTTTGAAATCAGGAAACAGATTCCCAATAGTCTTTTTCTAAGAATGTAAAGAAATAATAACGCGTCAACTTTATTTTTCAAACTGCCTCACGAATTTAACGTTTGAGAAGGAAACGTTAAGTGGAGAATAATTTTCAAAGGTTCCAAGTACCACAGTTAAAAACCGTGGCCATAACCCATTGCCAGACAACATATTAGAGGAATAAATAGACAGAAAAACATTTCGTCCAAACCATAGTACGGTCTTTCACAAAATTGTTGGTGTGTATGATTATCTTCCACCATCCAGTGATGCATCCGCGGATCATCTGGGTGAAGGTTTCATCATCCGCCGGCCCGCTCGAAATCAATGGCAGCAAAAAAGCCGCCAGTACGACGACGAGCATGGGGATTGTTAATCTGAAATTAATGAAACAGAAAAGAGGGTAGCCCCTCACATGTGTTACAAATGGTCCGTTTTGGCCTGTTTACTCTGACTGTTCCACCATACTGCCTTTTCTTTTTTTACTGATGTAATCTGGCCTGTTTGTTTAAAAAAATGTAAATGAGCCGTAATCAATAAAACAACCACACTGGTAGAGTGGTCAAAGTTATGCTGGAAACTAAAACATATCGCCGATTGTTTTACCCAATATTACGAATGACTATGTGACCTGGTAATTGGGTATTTGTGGCAATCAAACACAAAACAACTTTTATCTGTATTTGCTGAGTTTTGAAATGCCAACAAATGTCCTCCTCATTTTTTCGTGTCCGTCTTTACCGTAAAGGTTTCTGTTCTGTTCTATAAGCACACCAGAAGAAGTCATATTTGCCAAGTATTTGCAGGAATGCTCACCTCATGTATCGTCTGATGGACGGCACTATGTAGACAAGTAAAATGTTTTTCTTCAGAGTGACCTCACGAGAGGAGGTCAGTAAGTATGAAAGCAGGAAACCACTGAAATCATGCGAATTACACGAGAGTTATCAACGCAAAGAGATACACAAGCACAATGAACTGGCTCAAAAAAGTTTTAAATGGTTTTCTTGAGCCCTCTTCATTGGGAATGTATATTTGGCGGCCTCTTCAAAATGCTTTTACATTTGACAAAATTTGAGACGCGTTCGATTAAGATATACTAGATGATCGAAGTAAATAATTCGTTAAATGCGCGTGTATGAATATTATTTAGAAACCCGTAATTTCTTATTGCTGTCGATAGATTAATCTGATATTATGATTTCATTTTGATCAATTAATGACCTTGAATGTAAAATGCAGTGATGGTTTATACACTCTAAATGTATAAGGTAAGTATTTTTATTATCAATCTGCCGCACGTTCAAAGAGCTTTGTTTGGAAGGAGGACCCTCCATTTAGTAAGCTCAAGCAACCCCTACAAATTTGCTTATTAGAACCTAGTCCTCAGTTTTTTCAGTACAGTCATGGCCCTGAAAACGGGCATTCCCAACTTAAAATACCTCCAAGTAATAATTAGAAAAAATTGAGGTCAGGCTTGATTCATTTCGCTTTACTTACCCATCATAACATGAATTCAAGTTTCCATATTTCCTTGAAATTTTTTTATTCCACAGAATGACTTTTTTAATGTTACGCTTCCATCAATGTTATCAAACGGCACTAAACAATTGTGGAGTGTTGTAAACGGGCCTTAACAAATGCCTGTATCCTTCACGGATGCTGATGGTAATGGCATTCTAAAAGCTCAATGAGCATCCATTCTAAGTGATGTTTTTAACAAGGCTTTCATTGAAAGTGGTGGTTTAGTTTATCACATGTATCCATATTATGCTTTCTTTCCCGTCGATCCACTGGTTTTCGATTACAATTGCATTATAACGCTGATCGATAATTTGAAGATTTCTTCCTCATGTAGAGTTGACAACATTTCCTCTAATTTTTTAAGAATACTTAAAATTATGTGTTAATTATTCTTACTAAAAGATTTGAGCAATCACTAAACCTTGGTGTCTTATCGGATGATTGGAAAACAAGAAAGGTGGTTCCGCTTCACAAATCAAGTAACAAACATGATCCTTTCAGTTACACACCAATTTCGTAAACCAACACTCGTATATAATTTTAGACCACATTGTTTATTCTCATTTAGTTAACTTTTTAGAGTCCATTGTTTTCTTTTCACCTTCACAACATGACTAACGCAGAAGTTTGGGCTAGTTGGTATTCATGATAAAAATAAAAAGAGTGTAAGGACACGGACAAGAACAAGAGGGTAGGCGAACAAGGAACAAATTAAAACAGCGCAAGGAGACGGACAAGAACAAGAAGGTAGACGAGCAGCGCCTTGTTTGTCTACATTTTTGTCCTTGTCCGTGTCCCTTGCGCTGTTTCTATTTTTTATTCACAACATGGTTTTCGCAAGACTACTCATATGAAACCCTGCTTTTGTTTTTCACTGACGACCTACTTCCTATTCTTGACCGCGGGTCCGAGGCTGACTGTGCATTTCTTGATTTAGCCAAATCGTTTGATAAAGTTTCTCATAAACTTTTCCTTTTTAAACTTGGCGAACTTAACACGTTTCTTAACTAGTCGATAACAGTATGCAATGCTAACGAAACTAATTTTTTCCTTAGCCTTTTTACCTCTGGTGTTCCACAAGGGTCCGTTTTAGGACCTTTTTTGTTCCCTATTTACATAAATGACTTAGCAATGTGTGTATCGTCCTCAATTAGTTTTTTTTTTGCTGGTGACTGTAATTTATTGTGAAATGACTAACGATTCACGAATCGGATTCAACACTAATTCAATGTAACTTGTGCGCAGTATCCGAATGGTGTAACCTGTGGAATATGGCTTTTGACAATAAGAAATGTAAATCCATGAGGGTTTCACGTCGGAACACCGTCCACCTCTCCATACCCAATTTCTAACACTTTGTTACAGCTCGTGACGTCTTATAAATATATTGGTGTTTACATTACTTCTAACGTTTCATGGAAAAACCATACTGATAATATTATCGCTAGCTCTATGCTCGGATATCTAAAAATAAAAATTTCTTTAGCCCCAATATTATTAAAGTTACTTCTGTACAAACCCCTAGTTCGATCAAAAATAGCTCGAGTACGCCCCATCAATCTGGGACCCTGGATATGCGACGTTTGTGACTAATCTAGAAGCTCTGCAAAATCGCGGAGTTTGCGTTTAACTTATTGTAACTGTCATTGCACCGTCAATAAAACATCTATGAAAGCATCTTTGTCTCTGCCTCTCCTTTCTTTGCGACGAAAAATATCTCGTCTTTGTCTTTTTCTACAAAACTTATCACTTTAACGCTCCTCTAAAAAATGAAAGCCGTTTACAACCTTCTATAACGCCGGTTAGAGCGCAGCTCTTGAGGAGGAGGATAGAAGCGTACAGAGGGATAGGTGACTTCTTAAGGTCCCGTCACCTCAGGGGGGGGGGGGGGTCGTGTGACGTCATGGGGGTCACCGGATCTCGGGGGAGGGGGTTCACGTGAACTCAGGGGGTCACGTGACCTCAGGGGGTCACGTGACCTCGAGGGGTCACCTGACCTGGGAAGTCACGTGACCACGGGGGTCACGTGGCCTCAGGGGGTCACGTGACCTGAGGGGTTCACGTGAACTCAGGGGGTCACGTGACCTCAGGGGGTCACATGACCTCGGGGGGTCACGTGACCTTGGGAGGGTTGCGTGACCTTGGGAGGGTTACGTGACCTTGGGAGGGTCACGTGACCTTAGGAGGGTCACGTGACCTTGGAGTGTCACGTGACCTCGCGGTTACGCCGACAACGACGGCGACGCCGCTCAAGCCGGAAACGGGCCCCTAAGAGCTGCGCTCTAAACGCAAATTATTCCTTAACCACTCAAACATTTTTCATCGCATCCGATCATCATTTCAAGGTTGGCGTTCCTCAATCAGCATACAACGACTCCTTCATGCCAAGAACGTCTTCTGAGAGGGAACCACCTTCAGGAATCTTTAGTAATTGTCCCATTACTTTATTTGTTTAAAAAAGCAGTAACTTGATTTGTTTAAGGACGCACTTTTATTAATAGCCGTCGATTTTTTTTTTGTATTTTCATCACTGCTTTCTATGTTGTATTTTAGAGCGCAGCTCTTAGACGCCCTTTCCCGTCTTGAGCGGCGTCGCCGTCGGCGTAACCGCGAGTTGCGCCGACGCGTGAGGGTTACGGGGGTTAATCTCACGAGGGTTACCCTCACGAGGATCACGAGGGCTACGAGGGTTACTAACCCTCGTAACCCTCACGAGGGTTACGAGGGTTAGTTACCTTCAAAAGGGTTACCTTCACGAGGGTCACGAGGGTTACCCTCACGAGGGTTATGAGAGTTACCCTCACGAGGGTCACGAGAGTTACCCTCACAAGGGTTACTAGGATTACCCTCACGAGGGTCACGATGGTTACCTAGGTCACGTGACCCCCCCGGAATCGCGTAACCTGAGGATACCCCCCCGAGGTCACGTGACCCCCGTCGACGTCACTGATGACGTCACAGGCATCCGGATCGTCATCGGCATCATCACTGATGGCGTCATCAGTGACGCCACTGATGGCGTCACGGGCATCCGCATCGTCATCGTCATCATCACTGATGACGTCATCAGTGACGTCACTGATGACATCAGTGACGCCACTGATGACGTCACTGGCATACGCATCGTCATCGTCATCATCACTGTTGACGTCATCAGTGACGTCACTGATGACGTCATCGGTATCGTCACGTGACCCCAGGTCACGTGACCCCCCCCCCCCGAAGACACGTGACACCCCAAGGTCACGTGACTCCCACAAGGTCACGTGACCCCCCCCCGCCCCCCGAGATCACTTGACTTACCCCCTCCCCGTACCCTTCCCTCCTCATCCTCAAGAGATGCGCTCTAATTCGGCGTTACAGGGAGTTATAAACGGCTGTCATTTTTTGATTGAATTCTTATGTGCCCCACCCCCTCTGTGATGCCCTACGGGCCCTGATGGCACTCAAATAAATATATAAATAAATGTCCCGGAAAGTTGATCAGGTCCAAGAAAACGTCTTACCTGATGAGGAAGAAGGTTGTCACGCTCAAGAATCCATTCGGGATGAAAAGAAACGTGATGTTCTCCGCTGCGCCGGCCGAAGCATACACGGAGTCTGCAAAGTTAGTCAGCACTGATTTATTTTCTTATCGATTATGTCAGAAGAAAACGCGCGAAGGACGGTGGCGCTTTGGGCCACCCGTGTATGCTAATATCGTTTTGAACGCAGAGACGGCGCGTGAAAGCTTTATATTGATGAATAAAACCGTGCTATAAAACACGTCTTTCAATTGACCACTCAGATGAAGGATCGATTTGCAATATTATGACTTTAACGAAAATTTTAATTAATCAATATGGACGTTTTCAGATGTTTGAAAAATAAACCAGGAAATAATATATATATATATATTCTAACAAGCTTAAGGGATTTTTGCACTTTTGCAGGGTGCTTGCAGGGTGCTTAGAGCTTTTGTAAATGCTGGAATACTTTTCGATACACAAAAAAGATGTGCATTGGACAGCATGTTTGCTTGTTTTGTTCGCCTGTGTAGCAAGATAAATTTTATCATCTTCCAGATTTCATTTTGCTTTTTTCAGTGCATTTGGTTTGCCTGTGAAGGGTGTGTATATGACACAACTTTAGTAGTATTATTTGGCGTCGGCAAGATTACCTATACAAACAAAAGCCAAACAGAGTCGGTAACCACCTGCAAGCAAGGACGACTTGTTTGCTAGTTTCAAGCTGGAAGTTTTCTTGTTCCCTTGCGTAAAACGGCTGCTATGGATACCTTGCTCTTAAATGAGTCTTGCCCTTGTTAAAGGTTATTTAATAATACTGGTCCTTACAGCTCTAACGAAGAGCACCTACATTCGTGAATGAACGGTATGAGAAGCCGTTTTTGGCCTCCTCTACCCGGCTTTTCAATTAAACACACACACGCACACACACGCACAGAGACACAACTATGCGGTCTAGAATATAACGTAGCTAACCAAGGCCCACCCCTGGCATAAAACTAAATCATCAGAAAATATTATCTGCGAGGCGAAAAAACCAATTTGTCATACAAAAAGATCATCTGATTGATTTAAATACGTTTTGCTCTGCGGGTCTTCCACTCATGTGTATGTCCTCTCGTAACAGAGCACGCGACTGGAGAAGAAATAAACTGACGGGTTTGGCAGTATACCTTTAAAATAATCCTTGATTTGCGCGTTCATAGCTCCCTGGGCTCAGCGGGAAATATCTGTTGGACGGCCTACAATTCAAAACCCCTGTAGTGCAAAAATCAAGCTTTACCATTCTGGAGAAAAGGATGGTATAAATGCTAAATTCAACTCATTATCACTTAACAGCTTAAGAAACGCAGTGCGTGATTCATCATGTCAATACTTCTTGTTTGGTGATTCGTTTCTTTTTTTTTTTCGTTCTCATTGCCCATTGTGAGATCTCATTGGCTCTGGAGTGATAATATCAGCTAAAGAGAGTGATTCTAAAATGTTTGGGAGTTCTGACCGCCACGCGTTTTTTAAGCTCTCAGTGACTATGCGGGCAGAAATTAAGAGAGAGGAGGAAACGAGAGCGCGCAGGGACGTCAAAACGCCAAGCTCCGATTGCGTGGATTAATGGGTAGACGCAAAGATCATAGCTGTCTTTGTCTCCATTGCACTCGTCGAACGCGTTCGAACAGCGAACGCCGGCCGCCGGCGCCTTGCGTTCAAACGCGATCGGCGAATGCAGTGGATACAAAGGCAGCTAACTTTGCGTGTACCCATTACCCGTTTCCACCAAAACGGGTATTGGGTCGTCTGCTCCTCTCCTCTTGCTTCTGCCCGCATAAGACAGGTTTTGCTCGTCTGTAGAGCTTAATTTGCAAAATAAGATACGAGAAAGAAAATACTCTTACTGAAGAATCCACTGTTGACAAGAAGGTAGGCATGTCCGAGTACAACCCAGAAGGCCATGATCACCTTCAGACCAGAGACGAACTGGATAGGCTTACTCGTGGCCTTGGTTTCCGTACGCAACAGGAACCGAGTATTAGTGATGGCAGAGAACATGAGCATGATGCGCAATGGAAGTCCTGGTGAAAAAAGCATTGGTAAATATTTTTCGCACGCCAATATAATAAATACATGTTTGCGTACGTGTTTTTTGTGTGATATGTTTGTTGAATGCGTTTTACACGGTGAACCAGGAACACCTGTCTGTGCTTTGTTCAGTGGCACACCGTAAACCGTTTTATCAATATTTTATTGCTACGCCGAAGAGTCTGTATATCATTTTTGTGGACTTTACCTGATTGGGCTTGTTATTACGAGTATTATTTTATTGCGGTGTGCCATTATTGGTTTGAATTAAATACTCCTGCGTCATTTATAAACTTCACAATGCAAGTGACAGCCGCTACTACCAGTTTTTTCGGCACTGTGGATGATAGGCAACACGCCGCGGTTTCCGATTCAAATAACTGTTTTCACAGCCCTAGTATTTTGTGAATAAATGAATGAAAAATTAGAACAAATTGAACATCGATGAGTGTAGTGGATCGTTTCTTTGAGTAGTCTTAATTAATCACGGAAATGACAGCTCTATGCTAGCACAAGCCTACTTAAGGAACTTTTCAAATTAAAAAGAAAAAATGACACAGTTTGGTTATGTCTGGCAGAATCGGCATACGTGGAATTTGGAATACATTCTTAGGTCAGAAATGATCGGTTCACTCGCTTGTGTAGCGAGATTCATTCTGCAACATGCGACTACGAGAAAGACATTATTGGTCGCTATGATTACATGAGACGGATATGACACGTTGGGTTCACGTGTGACACATATGGTCTCAATGGTTGTCTCCATGGTCACACTGAAGCCCTTTAAATTTAGCAGATAACACGTTTTCTTACGTTGGTGCTTTTCACATGGCTGCCTTCAAGACGTATGATAGGCTAAAGCGTTTTCTCTTCAAACCAACAACACGCAAAGCAGTGTCAAACCGAAAGTTGTGGTGTGCGAGTCTTTTACGTATATTTCTGTTTACTTTTTTAATAAAGCCGAACAAAAATGCAATTAGTGTCTTTTCTTTTAGTAAAAATAATTCTTGATGTGCAAGGATTCAAATGCGCAAATCTAACGTTCAAGATCTGATTATTTTGTCATTTTATAACGCGCAAAAAAAAAGTTCCGCTTAATTTGTTTCATTACGAAAAGGTAAAGTATTAAAGGCGGGGAGGAAACCATAGGTCCTTATTTTATCTATACGCGGTGCATAAAACTACGCGGCCTCAAATGACAGGTCTTCATTTGCTTTACCAAATATACAGGGTGGGGTGTTCGCAAAAAAAGAAAAACAAAAAAGAAATACGTTTACAGTGTTGTCTTTGCTGCAATAATAAACTGCGCGTTACCGAACGCCCAGTTTCCACCCAGCTTCTGTCCAACTGCAGCCCTGCAGCGGTGAAGACTACATTGCAAAGTGTCAGATCTTGCTGTTATCTGCTTCAAAAGTTACCAACGATTTTTAGAAATATTCAATAGTAAAATGGCGGCCGTAGAAATCCACAAATCCTTGAAGATTAATGGAGTCGACCACCAGGAGGGTTCCTATTTGTTCATTAAAGGGGCACTGACACATCAAAATCATATTTTTTTTATTATCCGAAACGATTGAAAACGATGCCGGGACATTACCCTCAAAATTTGAAATTTGGGAATTCAGTATTTGTGAAGTAAAAAAACAATTTCCAAATGCCGAATTCGAAGTTCCCGCGCGATCGGCGCCGGTGCCTTGACGTCAAAAATCGCGGAGACCTGAGAGTCGATTTTCTTTCACCACTCCCTGCTGTTGCCATGGCGACCCAAAGCGAGGAGGAAAGGAGTGAGCGGCGGCGTTACGGCGGACCGGTTTTGAGCGGTGTCGCCTGTTTTCCGTTGGAGGATACAAATCCAGGAGACGGCACCACAACGAACTCCCGATTTTTGGTATTTCAAAAAGAAGGGCCGTAGTGCGTTCGCAATTGCGTTAAAAAACATGTTTTACGATTGCCGTTATTAAATGTTATAGAGATGTCGCCTACAAAGCTTCTAAATTTCCTGATTTTTGACGTCACCGATCAAAAGAAGCGAGGAGGCGAGAGGCGGGAAAATCAAACGCCAAAAATAAAAAGGCGCGCGCGCGCGCGGGAAAATTTTTTTTCGCGATGCGGTTTTTTTTGCGTGTCTATGACTGCAACTTGCATCGTTTTAGACAATAAAAATAAATACGACCTTTGGGGTGTCAGTGCCCCTTTAAAGGTTTTTCCGCATTTTTTATATATTTCAAAGGAGATTGGAGAACGTTCTGAAGTTTTGGTATCAAGTCTGTACCACTAGCGCTACATATGAGAGCAGACTGAATTTTCGGCTACGCGTATTCTATGTTTGGGGTTAGTAACAAAATAAAAACTCTGCGGATTTTTTTTCTCTTGGAAACTTCCTATTTTAGTAAACCAAGAGATTTTTGAAGATATCTTAAGGGGGGTATATTTTGAAGACCAGAGGGCAACTATTTATACCCAACATAGTACACTAACCCCCCCCCCCCCTCCCTTCTCTCCCCCCCCCCCCCCCCCAATGTTTCGAAGATGAACAAAGGCTTTTATAATATTTCCGGTTTATGCACGGACATTTTTATATTGTGTAATTATTTTATATTCTACAGGTTTTCCAGTCACTTTATAATATCTTTAGGATCACGAAGTTTCCGACCACTTCATGAAATTGTTAATTTTAGAGAAGCTCGGCCCACTTTGATATTTTTAACATCACTAAATTATGTATCAGCTTGGTTAGGAACATATATCTACCCTGCTTCAGGCCGCACAATTGTTAGTACCACCGATTGTAATGTTTTCTTTTTTTGTTTTATTTAAAACGTTACAACTAAAACGCATTCTAATCGGGTGACTTATGGTTCATTGTTATAATTAACAACTTAGAATAAAATGCACTAACCGCGTACTTTCTTCGTATCATAGCTCTTTTGTAGGAGCCATTCCAATACAGTACCCAGGGCAACAAGCACAAGCAGCAGACAAATGATTGCCCTGGAACGTAAAAAGGCTGTTATTGTTAGCTTCCCGTGCATGTTGAAATAAACAGGTATTACATTGACAGTGCTTGAAGAGCTGAAATCTCTTTTGGGTCGTCCGTTCTGCATCCTCTCACAGTGCCGTTCATTCCGTAGACGTGCAGCACTGTAAAAAATGTCAAGAAAGCCTTAAAGTTCGAATGTGCTCTGCTTCTCCGCGACTTATATAAATCAATTTAGAAAGTGTTTCATCGTAAACATCAAACTGTAGGGAGTGCCCTAAGGGCCAAAATTCCAGCCGGCGATTTTGCGCGATGGAAAATGTTTTATCAAAGATATTAACACTATGAAATTGGAGTATATGTGCTGCAAATGTATTTAAGCATAGTTTGTGAAGTTTACTTGCCGAACCAATGAGGGATATCACAACGCCCCAGCGGAACGCTAAAGGTTTATTCACACATTTATCTCGGTTGTTCGCAGCAACCGAAAACGACAGCAACGACAAAGTCGTCGAAACAAGTGCTCGCCACTCTCAACGTGACAAGGGATCCAAGAGGCATACCTTTCGGAAGAAATCATGTTTCGCGGTTGTCGCGGTGTTCCGGATGTTGCTTTCGTTTTGGTTGCTCTGCACGCAACTGACACAAATGTGTGAACCAGGCTGTGGGATATCATTTAAACAATCTGGAGACAATATCACGTGTGATCGCTTTCTCAGCTGCTCAAATCATTACCCCAATACGCCTCCGTCCCACTGGATGCACCTCGGCAGGGATTTGAACTTGATAACTGGGGATCCGCAAGGCACCGCTTTCGATGGCAACATTTTCCGTTTAGCATATACAGTAGAATCAGCTTATAACGATAATAACGAAAATCAATTGTTGTAACCGATTTTTGTTGTGTCTGGACTACAAACTGATCGTTCTTAGTTTATAAATTCTAGAAATTGATCGTTGTAAGCAGTACATAATCATATGTGGTATCGTTATAAGTGGATTGCACTGTACATGTATTAGTGGAATTAAAAAAAGAGGTACCATAACCCCTTTCGATTAAAAGTACCATGCTTAGCTAGATGTAAGTATAATTTTACGTTATACATCTACACAATGCACGCCAACCAGTTGGTTATAGGTGCAAGAAAGATTTTATTGTACATTTGGCATGTATCTGTTATTCTTGATGAATTCAATTTTAACTTGGTCTTATTTACATGTAGAGCCAGAATATATTAGAGTTTGTATATATTTGGACAGTCTGATATTTTATTTGTTTAAGTGTAGCTCTGGCCATTGAAATAATACGGCACGAAAGTGCACGATCAAAACGTTCATGTCAAGACTCGTCCGGTGGCTCTGGTATTCAAAGATATAGTTGATGAGACAGCTTGAACATTTCATCCTGCAAACACATGTGCGAACGACTCGTGCATTGAGGCTGATAATTTTAAGGATATGAACAACATAAAAAGTCCTATTGACGTGCGTATTCATAGCAATAGTTTTAACTTGCGTAGAGTGCCAACCCATTTCAAAATTGTTCTTCTTTAATGCTTAGTTTAGTTAATTTGTTTGCAGACCGAAGTTTCTTTGCACGAATTTTGTGACGATGCCGTGCAATAGAGCTCAGTGAAGACGTACTGCAGTCACCAATATTAGCATATTTAGGGGAAGACAATAAAGGCTGGCCAATAAAGGCAATACGACCGGAGAGGGTTAAAATTAGGTTTCGGGCTGCTTACGGCCGGCTTCGCGGTCGTAGGCAGTCATAAGAAGCCTAAAAACTTGTTTTTATTTTCTCCGGCCGTAAGCAGTCAAAATTATATGAACCAGTTTTAAGAGAATAAAGGCGAACATATGTTGTTTGTTACTACTGTACTACGCTGAAAATAATGTTCCGTCTTGGTTATTTGTCATGGAAAATAGTCAAATTGCTTACGTGATCGTACAAAGAAATCTATATCTTCTGTCGTGCACAATGACGGCGTGCAGATCGAATGTCGGATGTCTATGCTTTGAAAGGTATCACTTGACGTCATCTGTAGAGGGTCAAATCGTCCCTGAAAGAAAAAAAAAAAGAAATGAGTAAAACGTAAAATATCCAAGAAAGTAACAAAGTTAGTAATAAACGTAATCTTGATGGGTGCCTTTCGTTTTCGCACTGTTTTGAAGGTCGTTTTGAGTATAAACCAGGCAGAAAAACAGAGTAATTGGTGATTGTTGAAACAAAGATGGCGAGAAAAACTTACAAATGCTTAATTTTGAAAGATTGACAGATTGGACGAATTATGGCACGACGTAGGACTGCTGCCCAACATAGTCAGCGTCAGCCTAAGAAACGCCTGATATGAACATATGAACATTTTAATGTTCATGCTTCTTGTCTTATAATTTCTTCTTCGGGATTTTATCTGATAATTCTGCAAGCGCATTGGCTGCGAAGCGATGATAAGATGTTCTAACCACGCTACGTCCTCTGTTTTGCACAACTTTCGGAGCGACTACAACTGTCTATTAAGGAGCGCTAACATTGCTGGCCGCTTCTCGGCGGTTCTTTGAACTATATGACGCATTTTCATTTTGGAACGAAAGGTCGACTTTGTCCTCTTCCAAACGACCCAATTGCGAAGTCGTTGTGTACAGCACATTCAATGATTTGAACTCAGGAAAACACTCGTTCACTGACAAAGCTCCTCAATTTCCAACATGTTTCTATCTGATGTATGATTTAGACTTCCACGCGCCAGCTGACGGCCTAAATGAGACAATATTTGTTAGTTTTTATCTCTACGATGAATGTCATTGCCAATTAAGAAACATCGAAAAATAATGGCTAGATTATAAGTAGTGTAGTTTAATATTAAGATCACAGTAAGACGCATTAAACCTTGAAATAATTACGGCGTAAAAACTACAGGCACATGTGATGAGGATAAAAGTTACATCCATTTTAATATGCGACATGCAAGATGCATCCTGCTCAACGAGGTCGAGGGGCTTAGAGCGATAAACTGGCAGCTGAATGTGGCCTCACCCGGGCCGCCGCCATGTTGCACATTTTTTACCCCTAAACATGTGACCTTATAGTTTTACGTCTAGATTTTAACAAACTACCGCACACAGATAATTGCTTAATGATCTTTATTAAAAGTACCGACGAGATAAGTTAAGTTTCGTTTAAGTCCGAAATGTGCTTTTACGACAAAATACTCAGGCAGCTTCGCAATAGCTCCATTATATGCCGTCAGCCGCAGTGCTGTATTTTAGGTTTTTACCGGAGCCCAACAATAATCTATGGGGCTAACAGTATTGAAAAATAGTTTATCGTGTCTTTTACAGTGATGGCGAAAAAATCTTTGCTCAGTTTTGCGTAAAGGTTTCAGGATTTGGTACAGTTACGTGCCGAGTGGTCCAAGTTGTACAACTTGGCGGCAGCCATGGGCGGGGAGGTTAAGGGGGGGGGGGGGGGGGGGAAGGGGGTCACTTTTGTTTGGCGAACGGGATGCCAGTTTATTGTTCTAAGCCCCTCTGCCTCGTTAAACCTGCTGAACAAGTTTTAGGCTTATAAATATTACGAAAGATAAATAAAAAACTTAACGAAATAAAAAAAAATTAAAAGATGTTACGAAACATTACTTTAAGGAAAAGGTGGTGTCGACTATGTTTTTTGTTTACGTAATGTTTGTATGTAAAATATAATACCATAGAGATATCAAAACGAACCACTACGTATGGGTTTATTTGGTTAATATGAAGTTTCAATACAAGGCATAGTACCTGTCCAAACCGATGATGTGAAACACTCGCTTATTAGGTTGACATTTGTTAAAATATAAGTGAAGGCATTTTTGACAATTTTTGTCTGTTTTTATTATTTAACATTATTTATAAATGTGCCAAAACGTAGTGGTTGTTTTGTACCTATATTATGACGAATCTTAGTTTGGTTGAATCATCGATAATTTAAATGCGATATACTTTAATATTTAATGGCAGGATCTGGTGCCTTCACTTTGCAGGTCCCCGGATCTTTCTTTCAGGCCAATCCTTTGCATTTACATGGCCACCTTATTTATACCTTAACGTACTTTGGGATAACGCGTTTTAGAAGGGCAAGTACAGTTTCATATGAATGCATTTCACGTTATCAGAATGATTCCTTTTTCTAAGTGATTGCAACACGCCGCACGTTTTTCGTTTCTATGCCCGGTGGTGGTGCGAAGATCCGTGCTAGCTTCGGCGGTGTGTGGATGATAAACTCTCGGTATGCAAGAGATGTCTTCATAAAGCAACTAGTAACTGTTAGTCTTTATCGGCTCGCGAAGAATGAAGCGTTCAAGTAGAAACTGCTCATCCCATGGACCGAAATAGCGACCATACAGGAAGCTTGGCATTACTTTCCCAGGATCCAGTGAATTTAGTTACTGTACCACCCAGTTGTTCCAATAGAAATCCCTTTGATTTCACTTTGGTATCCAAGATCTCCAACACCAACCGTAAGTTCCCCCGCTTCCTGAAGTTTGACGATCAACTTCTTAAATCCTCTGGTATCAACATAGACGGAGCAGTACTGGCCCTTGAAGTAGAGCTGTCCGTCCGACGAGTACACTCGGGTGTTGAGGCACTGCTCGTAGCCGCCGATGCTCACGAAAGAACCTTCGAGCAGGTTAGAAGACAGCAGGCCGTTGGACATCGCCACTGCACAACAGAAAGAGTGAAATTCATGTAAAGTGGGTCATTATTATACATTGAGTGTCCTCTACCGAATACATATTTTATTTCCTCTATCTGAGGGAGTCCTTATGACAGATTAAGGTAACGAGCATGTTCACTGTCCGTTGCGTTTAATGTTGCCTTTTTCTTTAATGTTTTACCAGCACTCAAGGTAAATATTTATTTCAAAGTGACTAACCATGATGCCACCCAATATTCTGAAAAATAGAATGTCTGAATTTTGTATTATGCATTTGTGTACAATTACTTCCTTGATGCCTGTATGTTCCACCCTCCCTTCACCGGCGAAAGCCGGCCGGCAGTTTTTTTTTAACTAACTAAATATGATAGGGCTGGGCGGCTATTAAATGTTAACCCGATTAATCGCCGCGCCTTAAATCGTTTAATTAAGCAATTAATTGATCTCGTTCATTTATCGCCATAATATATAAAAAAATCAAAATTAATAAAAACACTTTTTTTTACTTTGTTGAATATCTGTTAAACGGCGCAATATAAAACTTAGATTATTAATTAATCTCGATGAGTAATTAAGAACAATTTAAGAAATGACGCATCTATGCCTGGTGAATGATGTTGATTGGGGCGAAGTTCTGGTGGTACTGATGATACTGTTTTTATTGTTCATAGGTAGTGCTGATGGTGCTGATTTTTTTTATTGCTCATAGGTAGTGCGGAGTTCCGGGTTTCGTTTCGACTTCATTTTTACTGCTTTATGGTCGGTGAAATGCAGAGCCAGTGGTTCTTCTGGCGGATCAGCTTGGATCCGCTAGAAGTCGTGGGAACGCATCTCCACCGCTTAAGTCAACGGTTCATGTCAGAAAGAAAATGTGTGGTATGGATCGTGGTTATATAAACAGTTGAGCATTTGACCGCAGCGCCCTCTCGTCTATAAACGTTGAGCCAAGGCATGCCAAGTTTTACGCGATTATATACGCATTTAACCGCAGCGCCCTCTCCTGTATAGACGTTGAGCGGCTACATGCTACGTTGGAGTGTAGCGTAGTGGTTTTAACTGTGTATGTTCCGCGCGAGACAAAGCAAGTGCTACGTCTTTCAGAGATGCGAGTACGAGCATTTTAAATGAAATTGTCAACGAGTATAAGCTGGAAGACGTAGGTGACGTTTTGGTTGACACGGTAAATGTCGGATTCACCCATTTTCAGGGAGATAGCCATGCCCGTTTGGATAGGTTTTATATTTCATCAGAGTTAATGACTGTATGCTCTAACTACTCTGCCTGCCTCCTTTAGCGACCATTGTCTAGTGTCTTTCACACTGGGTAGAGTCAAAGAAAAGAGAAAAGCTTTTTTTGGCAGCTGTGGAAGCTGAATAGTAAACTTTTAAATCATCAAACGTTCGTCGAAGCACTCAAGGATTGCTTGGAAAAGTTCAATGAATGTGATGAATGTAGCTGCGCTTCAAAATGGGACCTTTTTGGGCATGATGTTGAAATGAGAGCTATGGAAAGGCGAAGCGCGACATAGAATTGCGAAAGTAAACGAGAAGAAATGCTGCGAAACACACTTAAGATTTTGCTTGGCGAAGAAGGCCGGACACCTGGGCTGTTTAAAGATGATATTTGCTCCGTAAAAGCGCAACTTGAAGCAATAGATAAGGAACTGTATCACGGGGCACTGATACGGGCGCGAGCGGGAAAAATGTTGAGAGGTGAAGCGCCAACAAAAAGGGCACTCGGAATGGAAAAGAAGTATGCTGGCCGCAATGTGATAGGGGGAATTGAGTGTTGCGGGGTGGTGACTATCGACCAAGCGGAAATAGAAAGCGGTTTTTGTGTTTTTTACAAGGCTCTTCTTTCTTATCGGCCTGTCGAACTTGATAAGTTTAGAAGCGAATATCTGGGTTTTTGCCGCGTTTAGAAGACGACGTAGTATCAGGTTTAGAAGCAGAAGTGACCGTGGGTGAGGTCGAGCGGGCAATCGACGAATTGAATCAAGGGAAGTCGCCGGGCCCAGATGGTCTAAGTGCGGCCTTCTACAAGGCTTTTAAAAGTGAGATTAGTTCCTTTCCGTGCAAGCTGTTTTGTGAAGCTTATGAACAGGGAATTCTTCCCCTATCCTTTTCCCGTTCACATACAGTTTTAATTCCGAAAACCGATGAAGTAGTTAAAAGGAGGCAAGTATCGGCCTACCGCCCCATTTGTTTGACAAATGTAGGTTATAAAATATTTATGAAAATATTGGCTAGGCGTTTGCAGTTGGTTATAAAAGATATACTTGGACCCCATCAGACGTGCGGAATAAAAGGGCGCTCAATCGTGACGAATATTGACGTCGCTAGGAGTGTGCTCGAGTGCTGTGATTGTATGCAACGTGTCGTGGCGCTACTCCAGATAGACCTGGGGAAAGCTTTTGACCAGGTTTCACACGAACTTCTTTTTGTCATCTTGGAGCATGTGAAGGTCGCTTCTGTTATTCTCAAGGGCGTACGCATGGCATACAAAGAGTGCACCACTAATTTTATTATTAACAAATCTGTATCTGAACGTATTTCGGTCCATCGTGTGGTGCGCCAGGGGTGCCCTTTGTCACCCCTTCTGTTCTGTATTTTCATTGAATCATCTTGTATGAGTATACTAAAGAGCCCACTCATTCGTGGTTTTCAACTACAGTCATGTGAAGTACGTTGTCTGGCGCATGCTGATGACATTGCCATTTTCTGTGTGGATAAGAATAGCATCAGTGAGGCAGTTAAGGCAGTGAAACGTTTTTGCAAATATAGTGGCAGTTCCGTAATCTGTCAAAAATGTCTAGGTTTCTAGTACGGAGAGTGGGACTGTGTGCCTAGTGTTTTTGAAAATATTAGCTGGGTCACAAGGCCTACGAAGTACTTAGGAGTTCCACTTGCCAACTACCGTGATAGCGACCCTTATTGGAGAGGGCAGGCAGTCGAGCTGCGCGACAAAGCTGAGAGATGGGCCACGGTTTGTAATTTGTTTTTTGTCAGCAAGCTCTGGTATGTCCTGCAGGTTTTACACTGTTCGCGCGTTAATGTCCAAAACCTGCATCGAATTTTTGCTGTTTTCATCTGGGGGTCGTCCTGGGAGCGGACTGGCCGAATGAACCTTTTTCGGCCTGTCCGTTCTGGGGGACTGTCTTTAGCTCATTTATTTCTGAAGCAGGTTGTAAACAGGTTTATTTTTGTGCGTGAGGTGAACGATAATTTTCTGCGCACCATATGTCAGCTGCGCTTGAGCAGAGCCTTGCCTCAGTTTTTTGTCTCTTCCGAGCATGTCCCCACCGGTGGCATTCACGGCTACTGGCGCGAGGTTGTTCAAGCGACGCGTTTTTTGTGCACTCGCTTTGCTTTAGAATATCTAAGCGTAGTAACGAGGAAAAAATGTATAAAGACCTTCTTGATGTTGTCCTCCCTGTGCCTTTGTACAGGTCATTGTATAGTGTGGGCCCGGGCCAGGATGTGCTTCAGCGCGTGAAAAGAATGTCAATACCGCCATGTGTGAAAACTTTTTTTCTTTAACCTGCATACCGGGGTCTTACCGGTTAAAACATGGTTGGATGAACGGGGTTTATTTGTAGCGTGGGGTGTGAACTGCTTTCTGTGCAAGAAACCAGAGACGGTAGAGCACGTTTTTTTTTTGGAGTGCTGGGATGGGGTTTTCTTTTGGGACATTCTACAGCGTACATTTAAGAAGGCGTTCCCATTGGATTCACACGGTATTAGGTACCTAGCCGTTGGCAATGATGAAAGTGTGCCGTACGACTTGATAATAATTTTGGGGCTCTATAGTATCTGGAAATCCCGCATAGCCGTGCGACACGCAGACATTAATGTAAGACAGGTGCACGAACATTTTTTTTTTTAAATAACGCAGCAAGTGGTAGAGGTGTGGAAAGCCCAAACCTGTGTACCTGATTGGGTAACCGTGCTGGAAAGAGGGGCACAATTAAAATGCTTTTAGCCATATTATGTTCGCCATTGAATGGCAGACTTGAATGTTTTAACTTTTTGTAAAGCTTTATTTTGTGATTGTACCAAATTGGCAATAAAGAAAAAAGGTGTAGCGTAGTGGTTAAGACGTCTGCCTCGTAAGCAAGCGGTCCTGAGTTCCAACGTGCAAGCGTACGTTTTTTTTTTTTTTTTTTTTTTTATATATAAAGTGGGCCGACCCCGGAGGCAGTGTAATCGATGTGAGCACGGACGCCGGACAAGGCTAGACCCTAAGGAGCTTCGCCCCTAAAACACTCTCACTCCCAGCTTATTACTTCAGCTGCGTGAGACAAAGAGGTTCGTTGTACTTTCCGGCAGAAGCGACCTCCTTTGATTGTTCACAATAGTTTCTGCTGCGCTAAACGGAAATTCGAGCGGTGTTGTAGTGGCCGGGAAACGTAGCCCTCTACATTTGTCTGGAGTTCATTCTCACCTCTACAGTTTACTTTATTCTGAAATTCCGCCTAAAGTTTGCTCTACATACAGGTGTACTCATCCATGTCTGCAGGCCGAGGGCGTTTAAATTTTACTTGCTTTTGGTTTGTCAATACATTACTCATGATTGATTAGTCTGTAGGGATCAATTGCCCATCCCTACAGTAAATCAATAACAAATAACTAAAACATTTTCACGAATGAAGGTGATGAGAGGACGAACAGTGAACTGAAAATAAAGGTTTAATTGGCAAACTTGTGCCAAACAAAAAGAACGAGCTTCCAGGCAACAGGAAAGCGGGCGGCGATTCGGCGGCGTAACAGCGAGCGAGAGCGAGACTGACTTGACAAGGTCGCCGGCAGCTGCTTATGTACTGTACGTTACTATCTCGAAGATTCGGCAAAGAAGGTTCTAGCGTCGAGCGCACGGGGCGAGAATGAGCTCGCATTTTCAAGAACAAGCAGGAATAAATTATAAAAGTTACGACCGAATCAAGAATAAACGCGAATATTCTAGAAGCCTGTGACCGCGTGACCGAGCGTTGCTTTCTCGGCCCTGC